TGGACGTCACGGCTACTGCGAGCTGCTCCACGACCTGCATGTCCTTGTCGAGGCCAGCGCCTGTCAGGAAGATGTCGAACGACTTGCCATCGAGAGAGACGATACTACCGGCCGAAAGTCGACGACTAGTCGTAGGACGGATCAGCACACCAGCTTCGAATGTCTCTTGGGAGCGCTGGTTCTGCAGAGCGTCTCGCTTTTCGATTCTTTCGTGATGCGAGACAAACATGCGGTGAACGATAACAGTCCAGGCAAAGATGACGGGGCTTTGACTTTCGCAATCGGCGTTTGCAGCCGCCAGGATTGCGTTGTGTACAGTCTCGAGGACAGATGGTGCAGTAATGTAAGGATCCTCGTCTCCGCGATACTCGGGTGTCTCCTCCGAGAGAGACTCTATGGATCTCGACGGGTTGAGCATTTTGAGCGAAATCGCAGTTATGAGCGATCTGAGGGGCATGATGAGTGAGCCAATGCTCTCGTTTGGCTGCTTGCTGTTAGCTTCGCTCCTGCAAGATATTATCAGTAAACTTGCCGCAGTGATCCCGCTGAAGAAACCGTAGCCCTCCATAAGAGCGAACCATTGTCCAACGATCGCGCAGGGCACGAAGGCATCGCCGTTTCCATCCACGGCCTGGAAAACCACCGACAGAGCATGGACAGTTTCGGTCAGGACCGTCCGCACCCACTCCAACTCGAGTTCCTCAACCAGTAAATTTTTGTCTTCCAGTACCGAGCCCAAGCCCTCCGCCAGTCTTCCAGCGGAATCCGTCACGAATTGGAGGTAGGTTGTGAGTAGGTCGGCCAGGTATTTGGGGCGATCGGTCGCGGCAAGCAGTCTCGGAGGTGTTGATGGCGCATCGCCAGTTGTTATCTGGGTCGAAGGTTGCGTATAGAGGAGGTTTTCGTGAACCAAATCTGCTGTCATCAGGAAATTGCGGCGCTCAGTGAGGTACGTCTGGAAGATGCGCTGTCGCCTCGTATCGTCCTTCTCGAATTCAGCCCAGATAGCTTCGGCATCCAGCGCCGCCCCAGAAAGCGGGACCAGGGATGAAGATTGAACATTAGCAATGCCAGCGGCTTCCTGCAAGTTGACCGCGTCTTGCGTGGAGAGAGGGCCTGTGAGGTGGCTCGCTGGACGGGACTGGAACTCGACAACGGTCGCTCGAAGCGCGGCGACGAGGTTTACTTTGGCATTCTTGCTCAACCATTGCGCATCCTCCTTAATGACCTTGATATCAAATTTGTCATTCGGCGTGGGGGTAACGTGGATGGCGGCGGTCTTGGTCTCGAATTCGGTCTTTGTAGAATCGCTTGACGGCGCAAAGGCGGTGGCCGGGTCTTTGATGAGGGATCGCACGTATTCGTCCTGCAAGAACTGTATCACAGCTTTGGTATTTCGTCGAGTGTCATCCTTGTCGGCTAGAGCAGCAGCGACGAGCTTCCAGGAGCTGATGCGAGGTCAGTTGCTGGGCATCGATAAAGTCAACAAATAGCACGGCTACCCACATGATGATGTTGTCTCCATTCAGACATTCCTCCAAAGGAGGAAAATACAGACGGTCCGCCACATTCGCCATTGCCGCAGAGGTCGATTGGGCGAAGCGATCAGGATCCAGTCTGCATCAGGCGAGGCTGCGATGAGCTATGTTGCCTGGGATGCGAGAGAAAGCAAGTCGACGCGCTTGTACACTTGGACCCGCGAATGCTTTTGCAGCCTTTCTGATGGTGGTTGGCTGGAGCTCAACTTTTTTGGGAGCTCCAATTCCTGGGTTTTTCCGGCAGATGAGCCTAGCTTCTTCCGTGCTAGCGCTCCCCAGTACAGGCGGTACGTACCGACAGCTCAATGAAAGAGCTGTTTAGTTTGGTCAACTTTCTCATGTTCACAGCATCAGTAGTACAATTCTACAGAATGATTCAAAACAACTGTCTGTTCATCCTCGCAATGTCTCATCAATATGTAATGAAATATAAGCACTTAGGAGTGGCTGAAAGCACAAGTGCAGAGTCTGGGGATTGCCTGTGTGACCAAATAGGTAGCCCCGGGGGACCGGGATGCGATAGCGGCGGGGCAATCTATCAGCACTTGCCTCCGGCACCAATGCGCACTGTCTTCTACCGCCAGTTTGGCAGTAGGCGCGCACAGTAAGGTTTGAGCTCCGACATACGGTATCGTCTTCCTTCCTCAACCGCCTTTTCGTTTGTACTGCAGACCGTCCCGTTGACTCACTTCAGTCAATCTACACTCACAACTACCGGTATCTTCAACTACTGGTACAACAATTCTCGAGGGAGAACGAACAAGAGCTCCCAATTGACCCATTTTTCCGAGGCTTGAGTGCGTTTCCAAGATGCCGTCTCTCGATATTATCGATCACTCACCCCACCACCCGGACCCGTCGCCACCGATTCCGACGGCATCCAACTTGATTCTCATCGACAATTACGACTCTTTCACCTGGAACGTCTACCAGTACCTGGTTCTCGAAGGCGCAAACGTCACCGTCTTCAGAAATGACAAGATTACGCTCCCTGAGTTGATTGACAAGAAGCCAACTCAATTGATCATCAGCCCTGGACCTGGACATCCCGAGACCGACTCTGGCGTTAGTCGAGACGCCATTAAGCACTTTGCCGGCAAGATCCCCATTTTTGGAGTTTGCATGGGTCAGCAGTGTATCTTCGATGTCTACGGAGGAGAGGTTGGGTCCGCAGGAGAATGGCTTCACGGCAAGACGTCTCCTCTGACACATGATGCCAAGGGTGTGTACGCTGGTCTACGCCAAGGTCTCCCGGTCACCAGGTACCACTCGCTCGCCGGCACCCGTGTTACTCTGCCTAGTTGCCTCGAAGTTACTTCCTGGGTTGCCACGGCAGACGGTTCACCGGGCATTATTCAAGGTGTTCGACACAAGGAGTACACGATCGAGGGCGTTCAGTTCCATCCCGAAAGTATTCTTACCGCTGATGGTCGCACCATGCTTCGAAACTTCCTGCAACTTCAGGGTGGCACTTGGGAGGAGAACGACAAGCTTAAGAAGGGCTCCGCCGCGAGTGGCGAGTCCAAGGTGGTGGCCTCCGCGCCAGCAAAGAAAAACAACATCTTGCAGCAGATCTACGCCCACAGGAAAGCATCCGTTGCCGCTCAAAAGTTGATTCCCTCGCAAAGACCCGCTGATCTCCAAGCTGCCTACGACTTGAACGCCGCCCCGCCTCAGGTCTCTTTCGTCGACCGCTTGCGTCAGACCCCGTTCGATGTTTCCCTCATGGCAGAGATCAAGAGAGCCTCGCCTTCTAAGGGTATCTTTGACATCAATATCAATGCTCCCACGCAGGCAAAGAAGTACGCCCTTGCCGGCGCCAGCGTCATCTCCGTCCTTACCGAGCCAGAGTGGTTCAAGGGAAGCATCGAGGATCTTCGTGCCGTCAGACAAGTATTGAATGGCATGCCCAACAGACCAGCTATCCTTCGAAAAGAGTTCATCTTTGAGGAATACCAGATTCTTGAGGCAAGACTGGCCGGTGCCGACACCGTGCTTCTGATTGTCAAGATGCTGGAGACGGAGCTGCTGGAGAGGTTATACAAGTACTCTTTGTCATTGGGTATGGAGCCCCTTGTGGAGGTGCAAAACGCCGAGGAGATGACTACTGCACTGGAGCTGGGCGCCAAGGCCATTGGTGTCAACAATCGCAACTTGGAGAGCTTCGAGGTCGACATGAACACAACGAGCAGACTGAGAAGTATGGTGTCCGAGAACACCATAATCTGTGCCCTCAGCGGTATCAACAGCCACAAGGACGTTCAAATGTGCAAGAATGACGGCATCAACGCCATTCTCGTTGGCGAGGCTATTGTCAGAGCCCCTGACACCACCAAGTTCATCAGAGAGCTGTGCTCCGGCTCAGACGCCGAGCCCGAGCCGGTCAAGACTCAACCTCTGTTCGTCAAGATCTGCGGCACGAGGACACCAGAGGCTGCTCTGGAGGCTGTGAAGTCTGGTGCCGACTTTGTTGGAATCTGCCTGGTTCCTGGTGCCAAGCGCTGCATATCTGACGAGACGGCCGCGGCGATTTCAGAGGCGGTCCACTCATATACGCCCGCAGCGACCCGGCAAGAGTCAAGGATACCCACAAAGTCTGCAACAGACTACTACACGGCGTCGGTCTCCAGATTATCAAGCTCTCGCCCGCTGCTCGCGGGTATCTTCCAAAACCAACCACTGGACGAGGTCTTGGAGAAGCAGAAGCGCTTCAACTTGGACATTGTCCAGCTCCACGGAAATGAGCCTATCGAGTGGGCAAACCTCATTCCCGTCCCGGTAATCCGCGCATTCAAGCCCAACTCGATTGGCCTTGGCCTCCGCGGCTATCACACCATCCCATTGCTCGACTCCGGTGCGGGCTCTGGTAAGCTTCTCGACGTCTCTAGCGTCAAGGAAATTTTGGCGAAGGACCCTGAGCTGCAGGTCATCCTGGCGGGTGGTCTGAACCCAGACAATGTGATCGAGGCGGTCAAGGCAGTTGGAGAGTTTGGTGATCGCATCGTCGGCGTTGACGTGAGCAGCGGTGTTGAGGAGGACGGCAAGCAGAGCCTGGACAAGATCAGAACATTTGTCAAGAATGCGAAGGGCTTCAGGTAGAAGGTGGATTGGTCGTGAGAAAGAAAAGTGATGAAAAATAGACAGCTACGTCTCGCAAGAAAACATCATACCCCATCACCGTCTCCTCGTCTTCAAACTGGAAGTCATACTCAAGAACCTCCTTCCAAGTGCTGGTTCGTGCCTTCTTATTTCTCTTCCTCGTGGCGCCCACTCAGCCTTCTTTTTGAGATAAATAGCCCACCTGTCCACCTTGAACAGTGATTTTCTTTCTTCCCTTCCCTTCCATCGCGAGAAGATCACATCTGCACAGCGAGGGCACAGAGTGAGATCAGCGATATTCTAACAGGATCAGAACGAACCGTCCCAAGAAAAACAACCATATACCTACTCTGGCGGATAAACATGGTGGCAGGTATCTTCAAGAACAGGGTTCTCGCGGCCGCTGGCAAAAACGACCACGAAGTCGAGAAACTCCAGACATGGACCCAGATGCGGAAAGGACGATTCTCACTCGACATGGACGACTCGGTGACGCACCTTCTTTGTACCGAGGAACAATTCAAACACAAGAACAAGAACAAGAGGAGTACGTCTCAGGTCTTCATTTCACTTTCCATATCCTCATGGCCTGGGCCATTCCTGTTGAGGGCGACAAACTGTCCTTCTCATCTTCCTAACGTTTGGGCAAAGTACTAACAACGTATTGCGATTGCAGTCCAAGAAGCCATGCAGAGAAACAAGGACAAAGAAAAGAAGATCAAGATCAAGATCGTCCATGTTGATTGGTTCACCTTCTCCTGTACTCGCAACAAGAAGCTGCGCGAATGCGACTATGACTTCAAAGCCATCAAACGCCGAGAACTTATCAAGTCGAGGAAGCAGAAAGAAGAGGAGGCCAGGATTCGGAATTCTCTGCTTGGCCAGGATTGGATCAACCCTGGTAAGTATATCACTGACGAGTTTACCATCCCCCCGCCCTGAGGTCTCAACATTAATATCATTAGACCTCTACCACGTCTTTACGGACAAATACCACTTCCGATACGAGATCCAGCTCTTTCGCAACACCGAGGACGAGTACGGCGCCGTGAATGAGAAGTACGAGCTCTATGTAAGTCTTAGCAAGCCATTAACCCGCCACTGCGCAAAAGCATGCTAACTCTTGCTTCTTCCTTCAGCTCTTTGAGTCCCATGCAAAGCCCCATCTCTACTGGTTCGGGGCTAAGCTGTGCCAGAAGAAGGACGACGGCGTCTGGCGCTTCCGCGCCATCGAACGCACCAGCACCACCTGCGGAGTCTTCAAGCCCGAGTTCGAGCACTTCAAAAACTTCTTCCTATTCAAGACCAAACATCGCTGGTGCGATCGAGTGCTGAAGGCCGGTACTGGAGAGAAGACGGACTTCAGCTACACGCCCCCGGTAAGGATGGCTCTTCCTTTTTTACTAATATCATCGAGCCAAACATCCTGTGCTGCATGGTTTGCTAACATGGGAATCTCAGACTCGAGGCAAGCCTGTCGGAGGCAGGCTGACCCCAGGCCTCAGCTACGACGAGTGCGTCAAGCGCAACATTGAGACCCGCCTTCTCTTTGCCGAACTGTTCGGCGACGAGCTCCCCGCCAACATACAGATCGATGTCGCTATGACAGAGCTCCTGGACGAGGTCATCGACAAGGCTTGCGCCGCTCACTGCGAGGGTCTCCGCGATGCCTTTCACGAGATGTGGGCGACTGAGATGCCAGCCCCTGCTCTGAGAGAGACACCCATTGAAAACGCCGACGCCGAAGACGAGGCATCAGGCAACACCATCAGCGCTCCCTCGGATAGCATGCCGCAGCTGAGTATTGAGGACGTTGACGAACGCCTTGGTAGCATGCAGGACTGCGAGATGGAGGATGCGACGGCTCCCTCCTTGGACAATGACGAGTGGTGGCCAACCACTGCTGCCGTCTCTGAGGACCTCACCATGCAGGATTGGTGAAAGTGACACATGGAAGGAGTGATCTACACGCACTACCCAAAAGATGATTTTCAGGGACATTTGAATGGCGACCAGGTTGGATGCATGCTGAACGATTTTGGAGGGGGAAACACAGCGAGACATCAGGAGCGAGAAATCTGCTTTTTTGCGTTTGGGAAACACCAAACTCAAGACTTTCATAGACCTAGAAGGCACAGCACCCTTCGACTTCATTTTCTTCAATAGACCAATCTCGCATTCTTTTAATAACGCTTATGCAACCCTTTCCAGCCAGTTCCCCCAAACGCCTCCGAAAACCCAGCAAAACGTTCACACAAGCTCCCCTTCTCCTTCAGTGGCAAGTATCAAAACCTCAACTTGGGCATGACAAAGACCAACAGCACCAGGGCGACCATGAGGCCGTACACCCACGCGTACAGCATCATCCTCCCCCACCAGCCCTTCCCCTCCGTCATCCGGCGCAGCGTGCCCATGCGCCGGCTCGCCGCGTCCATCCCGCGCTCTGTCTTGTCCATGCCCTCGCCCGCGCGCGAGAGCACGTTCTTGTCCTGCTCCAGCGTGCTCGAGAAGCGCTGCGACGACGCCTTGAGCGCGCCGGCCATCTTGAGGATCGACTCGGACAGGGCGTCCTGCTCCTGGCGCTGCCGGTCCAGCAGCGCCTCCGCGGTCGCTGTTGACGCTGCGCCGGTCGAGGCGGTGGATTTCAGGGTGTTGCTGCGCCGCTGGGCGAAGAGGGCTGCGCGCGCTGTGGATGTTGCTGTTGCCGTGCCTGTGGATGTTGCTGTTTCCGATTCTGCGGCGGCGGTGGTGTTGGCGGCGCCCCGGGGGCGTAGGATCTGTGAGGTTGTCGTTGGTGTTGATGTTGAATCCGGCGCCGGTGCGTGTGCTGGTGCCGCCGCCGCTGCTCCCAACGGCGGCGCGAGGTCCGGGATATCCTCCGCGTCGTCGGCCTCGTCGTCGTCGCCCGTGTCTTCGGTGGGTATGTCCGTGGACCGCGAGTTCGTGCTCTCGCTCGGCGTGGGGATGATCTCGCCGAGGATGTCCTCGCCGTCGGAGCTGTACTCATCGTCGTCCTCGTGCAGCTGTTCCAGGTCGTGCATGCGGTCAACCAGCCTCTCGAGCAGCTCGCGCTTGCGGTTAAGGTCGGCCTGCATGTCCTGCCTGCGCGCGAGGAGCTTGACGTGGAGGGCCTCCTGCTCGACGCGGGTCAAGAGGCTGCGTGCGTATTCCAGATTCTGTACGGGTTTCCACAGGTCAGTCGCTTGTGTGCGAGGATCACCTCTCGAGTAGAGAAGTGGGCCAAACGAGAGACACTCACCGAGTTCAGCCTCGCCCTCTCGAATTCGCTCGCGCGCAACCTCCTTTCGCGATCGTGGTCCGCGTGCAGGATCGTCTGGTCGAGGCGGCGGAGCAGCTGGCTCAGTTCCGCGACGCCGCGCTCCTGGGGCGCGGGCGCCGACGTCGACGATGACAGCCGCGCCATGGTTCACTTTCGGATGTTGCACTTCCTGTTTCTCGTCACTCGTACTCGTATCTTTCTTTTAATCGTATCCTGCGGGAATGGCGGCTGTAAGGGCGGACGAAGATGTGTTTGACAGGGTGTCTGAAGCTGATGATGTCGTTGGAGGGGGGGTCCAGCCACGGTGGCTGAAGCTCTATCGCATTGCGATTGCGCACGGGCCAGGCTTAAAGTAAAGTGTAGCAAGAATCCCATTTCTGAGGATTCATATGCATGGGTCTTCAGCCCACGCAACTCAGCGACGAACCTACTCGTCCGTTCCAGCCATACGCTCCCTCGGGACCGGGCAATCTAACCTAACAATTTGGATTCCTCGTCGGCGGGCATTAGGTCTCATGAAATCGACTACGCCTCAAGCAACGCGTCGTCGACTCGTAAGAACAGACACGTAAAACGCTGTCAGCTGATCACCTTTTCTCGTGTAAGCTCTGTCCCCATCCCCGTCCCCGTCTTACACGAGTTCAGCCGATGTGAATGATACTCCTGCTGCTGCCTCCTTCGTGTATCATACTCCAGAGCACCATACGCAATGTCATTTGTCTAAGACGATGTGCGTGAGATCATCCGAAGCTTTAGTTTTGTTTTGTGATGCCCTGCATGCCGCATCATTATAGGACGTCAGTGCCGCTGGAGGAGACCTGTTCGTCCAAGAAATGGGCAAGTTCGAGCTTAGCCACTATATTCGCCTGATGCGAATACAGTAGCAGATGGCGGCGTATGGATAGGCAGAAAGGAGCATGAGTGATCACCCTCGTCTGGACTATCTGTTGCTGGAAGAGGCGCTTCACTTCTTCTGCGCCTGCGGAAGGTTTATGAGACTCAGATGGCTGCAACACCAAAACAGATCAAGGTGGCCACTAGTCAAGGAGACTATGGTGTGCAGCAGGTCATGTGAATTGCAGGCGTTTCAACATCAACAGCTCATATTTTCTACTAATGTTGCTGTGCCACTCCCACGAAGGCGAACACCACAATGTTGCCGTCGGGGCCAATACTTCACCCATATCTCATCAGCCGTCAATTTCAAGGCGCAGTCAGTGTCTTCTACATCCTCAATGCTAAGGAAAGAGAAGATCTTGCAGGGATGGTGTTTCCATTTCACCTTCAGCTGGCATAGCCTTCAGGTACCATTGCCACTCACCACAGGTTTGACAACCAAACCCACGGAGCCAGGTCCGAAGGAGCTCAAGATGCCTGAACTTTAGTTAAGTTACGGTGGCCTTTGAGAAAGAATTCCACCACGCAAGTAATTTCAGCCGCAGCTTCATGAGTTGCGGTAATTCCAGATCCGCTTAGTCAAGACCTCTCATGTAGATGATTTGCTGAGTCAACTCGCGCAATGGACGTTCCGAAGAAGTGCAGAGGACTACCTTTGGGCCCTGACTTACAGCCAAGGTAGCCAAGGCAGCTGGGGTGCCTTGGGTCTACAATCCTCCTGGGCATGTCTTGCAAGATTTCAACTTCCCTTTGCCAACGCTGGCGTTTTGTCTAGAAAGACCATACTGTCAAGCCGCCCACTGTCACATGAGAGACCGTTGACAAGTCGTCTTGAGAAACAGGCTTCAACCTTTCTTGAAAGCGCCGATCCTTCGTACAGGCCCACGTCAAGCCGCCATCGCCCCAACAGTGGTTCAAAAAATCATGGCAACAAGAACACAATCGTTTGCAGTGTCGGCGATGCTGGGGTACATTGTCACCGCCTTGCGCATGGCATGTGGCCAAGTCACAGAGTCCCGACTACTCCGAACCTCCACACCTGCGCAAGTCGCGCATCGCAAGATGTCAGCATCGTGGCAGGTCGTGCACGCATGATGTGAACGGTGGTGGCTATGCCCTCCTTCTTCTTCCTTCTACCCCGCGTTTGTTTTGAGGTATAACCGGTTCCTGGGTGGGTTTGCAGTTGCCTATCATGGAGGGGAAGTTGTCATTGTGCGTTGGCGTTCGTGTGAGTGCATGGCTGCCATTCCATTCAGCCCTGCAGACACGGGAGAAATCCTCCGTTTCAGCAGTTAGCCTGTTTCATTTCCTGCAGCTGTATTGCAGATTCGTGTAGATCGATTGCTCTCTCAACCGTGGTCTTGCTGGCAGCGTCCCGGAATTGTGACGACAAGAAAGAGTGCTTGCTATTGGGTGCGATGGGGCGAATTGGCGACCAGATGACGAGGCTCTACCGCTCTGCGCCACATCTTGTTCGGCTGACCGGCCGAACTGTGCGCCCCGGGAGAACGTCATGGCGAAGTGATGCTGGAGGCAACTTTTCCCTCCGCAAATCCAAGTTGGAGGGACTTACACGAGACTCGCATGCCTAGGTACGTGGTGAACAACAGACAACCCAACGAGGAAAAGTTGCTGTGCGTCCCTGCATGATGAAAAAAGTTGGTGCTAATTATGGAAACGGGATGAACCCGGTATTGGCTGGAGCAGCTCGTTGACGGCATGAGGAAGGGTCTTCGCAATGGTACGTATCTTGTGGCGTGGTATCAACTAATAAAGTGGTGGCCGTGGGCGGCAGACGCCGATATTGGACGGGAGGGCGGGAGGTGACAGCAGCCAGGAAGAGCATCGGGGCAAAGCTCAAAAGAGCCCTTGAGGCCGTTGACATAAACTTGGCGGGGACGGTGGCATCGTCGTCGAAGCCGGAGGTGCACGACGTCATTGGGTAGCTGTGGGGGGGAGCCTTCAAGTGAGTGGAACATCTGGCAAGGAAGATACCCGTGGGATACCGCGCGGGTGGCTGGGAGATTCTTCTAGCGGTAAGTAGCAGCAGGGTATCGGGAGCCACCATGACACTGGACCCGCCAGTCCCTGAAGACGGAGCTGTAGGCTAGCTGACTGGTTGGACCGATGGATGTTCGGCAAGATCCAGCATCTAGGCTCTGTGGAGGTTGGAAAGGTTGGACTGGGATGATTTTGGGTTGCGGTACCTCACTGCGTCCTCGAGGTCAATTAGCGAGCGGTGACTCACACCTGTTCGAGTTGTCCGAGGGTTCAATATTCGTTCCTTCTCTACCTTCGATGGTTTCCGGACGTAGGAGCAAATCCCCAAACACTGCCAAAGCTGTCAGATCGGCCTTTAGTTGAAAAGTGCCTTGGCCGATTGGTCAAACTGCTCGATACTGCAGGCTAGGAGAGGCGCGTCCAGGGCCGAAAGGCTAGACTCTTCCCGCCGCAGGTGAGCGCTACAGGCGAATGCTTGGAAGTGGCATGGTATCTGGCCACGGCAAACCTGCGTAGAGCGATCGGCCGAGGTACGAATACTGCCTGGCTTTCAGAACCGAATTCCCGTGCTCCAAAAACTCGATGGAAATCTCTGAACGAGACAATACCACGTCGGGCAGGGCCGAAGGGAAGGGCGTCGGAAGTAAAGAGTTTGGTCCCTGAGGTTGCATTGCACCGTACAGATGTAGACGCGGGCGTCAGGTAGAGCACAGAAAACCTGAAGAACCTGCGATTGCGACTTCAGGTCGGTACCTCTGCCCTA